CAACACTTAAAACCAAGTGAAAATGCATGACCTCCAAGTAACTTGCAAAACAAGTTACACAAGTGTATGACCTAAATCCAATGAACCAGCACCTTAATCATGTTATAAGCAAGCATCAAAACTTATAAGGTGCATAAGGGATCCATGAAAGTCATTTCCCAAAAGAACTAGGTCAAACTAGTTTGTATGAACACTTCCTAAGGTGACTTAACTTGCAAGCTTCACCAAAAATAGGAAAAAGGTTTAATAAATCTCAAATAAAAATCACAACAAAGCTCGGTCAAGTGACAAACAAAATCCAAAGTCTCATGGATAAATTTCACTCAAGGCATCACCAAATAATTCAATCATTAATGGCGCTCCACCTTATCGAGCATAAGTCGAGGGACAATAAAAATCAACTCAAAGTCACATGAAAAATGATCAATCATGAACCATATCCACCCTCAAAGGCACTTCAATTCATCTTCTAAATGGTGAAGAAGCATTAATCATAGGGGATGTGCATCAGGGGTTCAAATGAAGGAGATCAAACAAAGTAGACACCATAAAACACCTCTAATTGAAAAATTAAAATAAAATAGCAAAATAAAATAAAAATAGAAATAAAAATTATCGAAAATTAAATAACACTTTAAAGTATGAGAAAACATTTTTTAGGATTTTTTTTATAATTGGAGCTATTTAAAAAAATTTAAAATGAAAACAGAAATTAAAAAGAAATAAATTAAAATAAGGCAAGCAAGGGGGTGCATCAGCAAACCCATAATGAACTACAGCAAGGCAATTGCACGCATGGGCCAAAGAAAAGAGGGGTGTGAAAAGCAACTCAGGCCCAATTTAACGCAACCTTCAGACTTAATGTAACACAACGCTTCATAAAGTCTAGTCACGGTCAAACATACACGCCAACCCAATCAATCTAATGGAATCGTGCCAAGCAACAAGGTCAAAGAGTCCAAACATGACAAGTCAGCTTAGACCAGACAGGTGACTGGACGCCGGAGCTAAGGCTCCGGTCGTCTTCTCCGGCCAGCTCGCCGGAGACCAGTCACCAAATCTCCATAAAAATGAACAAATATTGTACCAAATGAAAGCTACACTCACAAGGGTTTCAAATCTACCAACCAAATTTCAAAAAGCCTCTTGAATGAGTAGAAATCAAAGCACAAAAGTCTTAATGCACAATCTGAAACTTCAACAAACATACAAACCAAAGGTTCAAACATTGCCTACCATAGGTAGGGCTTCCGATGCAACCCAGAATGATCCTATTTCATGTATAAAATGAGAGAAATCAGTTGAAGAAACTTATTGAACGAAGCTGCTTCGTTGGCTCTTGAAAGGAACACAAGCTTTGATTTATGACTTCTAATTTGTTCCTTAGACTCTTGTGAAGAAGAATCAAGCATCAACTGGAATTGATTTGCAGTGAAATGTGTGATTCGAAAATGAGAAGAAAAAAAGATGAATTCTTGAGCTGTCCTCTCTCCTCTCACGCAAGCAGCCAAGTCTCTGCAATTAGGGCAAGTTTGTGGCTTTTATGTGATGGGTATTCAACAACCATACAGGCCCATAATGCTTGTATCAAGTGAATTCAAATTTTGCTTTTCAAACTTGCATTTCCTGCACACGCACACGAGTTGGCCACATACAAACCATTATGGGTTAGCAAATAACCAAGTGTGGAGTGTAGGAATGAATTGAATTATTTTTTGGTTCATGTAGCAAAAGTTTGTACCAAGTTTAATCTTTACTTTTATGGTGTGAATTTTGAAAATATGGCATGAAACATGTATCTTGATTGGTCCAAAAGTGGCAAGGATTTGCAAGACCAAAAGATGATTACATTATGATGTGCAAAAGTCCAAAACAAAGTCAATTAATGACTTGTAAATGAAGAAAAACAAACCATGACCAAAAGTCCAATTTTCCAACTTAAAATGGTTCACATGACCATATAATCCATCAATCCTAATGAATTTTAATTTCATTGTGGAGTTAATACCATTAGGCACAATTTTCATGTTGGTTGGAATTGCATTTGAGGTCCATAAGTTCATGGAAAAGGTCATTGAAAATGATGACCTATAATGAACTTTCCTAAAATGCCCTTGCCTTGTGAGGTCCATAACTTGAGATGTACAAATGATAAAAAGGACTTCTAGGACTTTTTGGAAAGCTAAGATCATAAGGAATAACTTTCATGTTCACTTTAAGTTGAGGAGAAACTTGATTCTAGGCCAAAAACGCCTTAGAAGTAAGTACACTTTAGGTTGACCAAGATTCTCTTCATCTGAGGACACCAACTTGTTGACATCATAACTTGAGATGTACAAACTCAATGGATGAGTTCTTATACTCAAAAGAAATCTTGGAAGATGATCTACAAGTCTCCTGTTTTCATTAAAATGAGATTGAGCTTACATCATGGGGGAAAATGTCCTTGAAGTTAGCCACTAATGAAGGGGATTTTACACTGAAATCATCTGAAACCCTAATTTAGTAAATCCTTGAACTCTTGAATCCTCTTGATTTGATCTTATCATGACATCCTAGATTATTTAATATGACTTCCCATGGCCTCAATGACCTAGAACCAAGTTTTGAAACTTCTTAAGTCCACAGTTGACCAGATGAAACCCTAGCTCGACATCCTTTGACTGAGGCTCTTGCAGATGAATTGTATGACCACACAAATTTCAAAAAGACCTCTCAAGACACCTAATGAGCTTTTGAACCAAGTTTAACCAAGAACAAGACCTCATGAATCCTTGATAACCTTCTGATGATCCTCAGGATAGGAGGTGATGCATATACACAAATCTCTCCCATCAAGGAGCTTTGAAACTTTCATGGTGATGATAAACACTTGATGACTTGCACAGATACCCTTGCTTGAGCTTGAAACTAAGAAGACTCTCCTATTGAATGGCACAACACACCTCTTGATCCCCTGCTAAGAACAATCTTATGCAAATTCAAATGTTAAAATGAAATGAAACATAAGTCAAGTACAAGAAAAAGGTTGGTCAAATTTTGAGGTACAACACACTCCTAGATATGAGAAATCACCATCTCACTCCCAATCACCGTAGTGATATACAAACACTCCCAATCCTAGGGAATGCCACAAGAAACCAAAAAGAAAGATGTACCCTCCTTCTTTCAAGAACAAAACTAGGTCAAGATTCTTGACCAAGAACAATTCTCGATTTTGCTTAAAAACTTCAACCAAGAACAATACTCAACTCTTGCTTCAAAGCTTCGAGTAAGAATAATATACAACCTAAATATGTCTATCACGATGCATCAAAAGATACAAGAGGTGACTTACAAAATCACACATAAGAGACTCTCAAAATCCTAAACCCTTACGTTGCACCTACGTTTTTCTTGTTGTGAATCTTCATTCTTTAGGTCTAGCAAGTCCTTATTTATAGACTCTTTCAGTATGGGCTTAGACTTTTCAATCAAGTCCAATCTCCACATTGTAAATCTTTTGCAGAATCTTCTCCACAAAAATAGTAACAAATCTTTATAGTTTCCTAAAAAAGTCTCAAAGATCCTTTTTATGAAATCCAATTAAATATGCACTTTGTTCCTAATAAATCTCCTTGACTTGCGCATAATGATGAGGTATATCCAAAAGAATCTCATCAAATCCGATATGTCAAGAGATATAAAACAGCAGCGCCTGCTGTACCAAACCAAGATGTCATGACATTTGTCTTCGATATCTTTTTGAAATACATGACAATAGTATTGTCATGACATTTGATGAAGATGTTATAACATCTTGCTCAACATCAATATAGAATCATGTTTTTCTCTCTATAATATGCTCAACATCAATAGTATCAAAACCATGAAACTAACATATAGAAATGTCTAAAATAAAATAACTAAGATTTTTCTCTCTATAATTTGATCAAGTTTCGCAATTACTTATTATACTATTATGTAAAATAAAAAGATAGAATCAACACTCAGATAAAATCATGAACTATCATTTTTAAAAAAGTGGTATTTTAGCCAAATTTTATGGACGGACGGTCATTGATCTATTGGTGTGATAAAATAATATATCATTCTATTTAGTTGAATAGTGTTTTTTTTTATTCTTTATTTTTACGATATCTTGTTTTTAAAGAGTTGAACACCCCCTTTTACTTATCTTTAAATATATTTAATTTGTTTAAAAAAAAAATTTGGCACATGAAAGAATTAAATACTCTCACGGTTCTATATTATAAATAAATTTTATTTTTTAAATTTATTGAACCGTTAATATATCTTATTTATATATAGATCAGATATATTAATTTTATAATAAATTAAAAAATAAATTTTGTTTATAATATAGGATGGAGCAGTAGTAAAATATTTTAGGCCAAAAAGAAATAAATATTTAGGCAAATAGAATACAACCGTACAGGACTTAACCCCGCCTCGCCAAGCTCTCCGTCGCTTGCTCAATCTCTTCTCTTCCCGGTCAGTTCTCTTCATCATCTCTGTTCTCGCTAACTTGTATGTAGAAAACGGAACTCTGTACTCTAATTTGAACTCACTATTTCCCCATTTCATTTTGTTCCTAAACCTATTTGATTAAATGTCCAATGAGTATGGTTCATTCATATTATTCCTTTCATTTTCATTCTGCTAATCACCATAATTGAATTTTAGGGCTTCTACAATGTGTACTTCAATTTTGTTACTTTCCCTTCATTTCATATGCATAAATGAATCCACTTTTTTAATCACCCATTATGTTTAAATCATTGTAGTTTTTGTTTTCACGATCTTGCACTTTTATTCAATCTTACCTTTTTGTTTGTGAATTTCCTTGTTAGGTTTTATTATTCAGAATCAACAATTGATTTTCCTTTTTCTTTTGTTTGCAGTAGCTAACATTGCTCCAGATTTTTGAATTACTGATCATTATGAAACTACAATTTTGATTGAAGCTGGTTTTCTGGATTGTAATTTTGTTATCACCAATGGGTTATAGATGTATTCAGTGTGGTTTTAACATCAAAACACTTTATCTTCAGTATTCTCCGGGTAACATTCGTTTGATGAAATGTGTAAGTCTTATCAATTATATTATTCTTTTCATTTTGTCTTGAATTTTTAAATAGTGAATTGATTTTTAGATATTTTTGTAATGATAGGAGAATTGCAAGGCTGTGGCAGATGAATACATAGAATGTGAAATCACGGTACTTAGCTCTTTATTCATGTCACTCATTTACTTCAAAGTTGAAATCTTTTGAAAAATATTATCATTTTTCCCTTCTCTTTTGTAGATTATTATAATAGATTTAATACTTCACAAACCCAAGGCCTATAGACATCTCCTTTACAATGTCATCAATCAAGAAACCTTGAAGTTTCAGGTATATGAATTTCTCCGTGATTTGATGTGCATTCATATCATACTGTATAATTAATGTCACAAGTCCTTTTTGATAATTTTGCAGGGACTGCTTTGGAAATTGGCTGCCATTTTTCTTCTTTTTGATGCATGTATCCATTCTTATCATCTTATGAAATTTTATTATTTTTTAATACCTTAGGGCTTAAATTCTAGCCATTGTTTTTCAAAACCAAATATGAGGGCCTTACAATTTGTTGAAGACAGATATTTGATCTTGGAAAGCAGCAAAGGTAAATCGAGTTCATCAGTGAGTTACTCCTCACTAGTGTCAACGTGTTGCAAGGTTAATTTAACTGAACATTAAAAATTTAAATCACCTCTTCCTCAATTACTTGGTTCTGAATTTTATGCTAACTTCGATTAATGTTTTATGGTTTTCATTTGGCAGATGATGGTGGATGTCGTCTTTGGAAACTTTATGTTTCTTTTAACCTTCTTCTTTATGGTCAACATATTTCTTCATATATCTCTCAGCGTTTCCAGGTTATACCTCTGATATATTTTTTGTTACACCATACTTGTAATAAAGAAAGGAACAATTAGTTAGCATACTTCCTATTTAACTTGGCAGAAAAGATGTTTGTTATTTTAGCATTTAAAAAATATTAACAACACTGGCCATCATTAGGAAACTCATGAATCTATCACAATTGAATTGATGAAAACCTTCAGTTTTTTTGTTTTAATTTTATTTTAGTACAGGACATGATACAATGTAGGAAGTTACTTCTCAACTCCCTAGTCTTGTGTATTACAAATATATGAGTTATGGAAACCATCAATGCTTTGCTAATAAAAAAATGAAGGCAGTATAAGGTTCAACAAACAAAAGTCACCTATCCTTAGACATGGACTTGGAGTCACACATTCAATAAAAATCATAACTTCATATCAAATTCCATATAATAGAGCATAGAGAAATGAAGAACAAAAATAAACTCTAACCCTAAAGGCTCTCTAGTTGAAAGAGTGTCCCATGAGATTGCTTTGACAACACATGAGGATGTGATTGGTCCTCGTGCTCATTTAGTATAGTCTCCTCTCGTGATATGAACATGAAATTCTAAGGTACAAGATTCTTCTAAAACTCACAAAGTGTCGTCCAAATAGTGTCCCCCCCCCCCCCCAATAAAAGACCCCCTAAAATTCTTATGTAGTTACTATTTTCAAAAGCGGTCCAAGTAAAAAAATAGTATAAAACAAATTTGTGCTGCATAATCTCCATCGGTGTCGCACAACCTAGTTTTTCTTGATAAATAGACATGACATATACTGCTTCAGCCTATTTTATCCATTTCAGCTCAAGAGGCTTCTCAACACCTGTTTTGCTCATTTTTTGCAATTTCTCATTCTTCTCGTTCTAATTTGGCTTTGATATCTTCATTTAAGTTGAGGTTCTAGATGTTAGCTTTCCTATGACACTTTACTCTTCCATTTTGGAATGCTACATCTCTAGATATTGCCAAAATACTAAACAAAAGTCACAGTGTTGGAACAACATACAATTTTCAACTTGTATTGTAGTAGAAATTTAAACATTGTCGAGATTGATTCAGGTCTCTGTTCTGCATATAATAAGTTGTAGGTCTTTCTTCTAGCTTTCCAATAAGACCCAGAGCATCTAGTTTGGGTGTGCCTTGCTTGAGATATGTTTCTGAAATACTTGTACACCAGTGTTAAGAACCTTGAGAATATTTAGTTTAATATGAGACTTTGACTCTTCTCCTTTAAACTCTATGCTCAAATCAAAACACCTATTTATCTTCGTAATATGCCCTTTTCCGTGTTAATATTACAAATGCTAGAATGCATAGGTACGATACCAAGTATAAGATGCAAGATAAAAAAAAAGAAGGTACGAGCATGTTAAAAAAACACAAGTTTAGCATGAGAATTCACAACACCGGTGTGGGTACTTCATTGTTTTACAAGTATCCATGCTTCAGACCACAAATGAATGCAGCCATGTATCTCTAAATGAAAAAGGAAAAATGATGGTTTATCATGAATTAATTGGTCTGCAGTTATGGCTACGATACGAATTTTAATTTGATCAAAAGACATAGTTCAGATGCTCAAGTGAGAGTATAGGGTAGAGAAGTTAGTGTAATAATTTGCATCTACAGATTCAAGGATACTCAAGTTTCTGCTTTTAGATCTAGTAATTATATTGATATTGATATTGATATAAATAGATGAGGTGCTAATTATAACTTCGGCGGTAGCATAATGAATTGATTTTCTTTTTTTATAATTCTATCCATATCAATTTGGTGTTTGTTGACCATCAAAATCACTTCAGTTTAAATATATTCATCCATGCAGGTGCAATGGCATTTTGCTTGGTCTCTTGATTTCATGTTACTTCAAGATTTTTCTTATTGCAATGATGGTAACGCAGCAATGCATAAGTCTGAGTTGGTTCATACACCAACATTTATTCTTGATATAAAAAAAGTTGGTTCATTCAGTTTTACTGTTGACTACTTTCTGTGCCTTTCTATGATGTGTTGTTAAATGAACAACAACTTTTTAATTGATGTTCAAAGTATCTTTCTTGTAGGTTTGGGAATTTCCATCTCCTGTTATGTTCATCATTGAATTATTTTGCTTATCATCTAATGCAGTAGCATTGAAAGGTTAGTAAGTTATCCTTTAATCTTTCTATATTTACCTCCTGCTTTCGTACAAGCCAATTGTCTGGGCACATTTTTTGCATTCTGGTTGAAAGTTTTGTCTAGGATGGATTGTTGTACTTTAACTATGTTCTCGTTATGTTACTGTTCAACGCTGATGAACATTTCTTATTGACCAGTGATGACGGAGTCAAGTATGAGTCGATGTGTATTGACCTGCTTCAGTGCATATGCCATCAAGTTTTTCTTCATTCAGGCACATGAACTGATGTTGCTATGGAAATTCATGCAAGGTTGGAGTCAAATGCCATTCACATTGTCTTTAAAGTCGACATTTATTTAATTTTAGTTTTGTTTCTTTTATCAGCAGAATTGTACGGCTAATGACTATTGTGTTTGTGAACGGTATCATTAACTCTTTTTCTTAAATTTGATTTGAGTGTTATTAGCTGGTTCCTTATTTAATGTTTCAGGTCCTATCTTTCTATTGAAGCAATGTTGAGTTTTGAGCCTATGCAATTTGAAACTATTCTTATCATTGTTCCAAATTCCGCCCGTTCTAAATATGGAAGTATGACATTGTACGGTATAACGTTCTTATCTAAATTGGTCATTCTGAAAAAGAAAATAGACAATATATAAATAAGTAGCTGAAAACTAACAATATTAAAAATAAATAGACAACATAAATAAAATTAGATGTATATGATAATACAAAAACTAATAAATAATTATAATAAATAAATAGATAAAAATAAAAATACAAAAAATAAAGAGAATATAAAAATAAGTAAAAGATGCGAAGAACACAATTCAATAACTTTTGTTTTCAAGGAGGGTGAGATATGTGGTGGTTGGAGTTTTTTATTACAAAGAATCTGAGAAGTCACATCATACCATATCAAAAATTTTGATATGTGTTTCATTTAACATACCGTAATCAATAAACAAATGTATAAAAATAATTTTGAAAATGGATGGCAAAATCTTTCATCTTCACATTCGCGTTGTATTAGATATATTGTATAAAATTTCGCGCGAGATATCAAAGATAAAGAACTTCATAAATTTTTTTGTAAATATGACTAACGACCTTTATGTTTAATAACATAAGATATACATTAAATGAACCTATGTTTCAATATTATATCGCAAAATAATTTGTTTGACAAACTACAATCTTTAATGTGGATTTAGAATGTCTCTAAATAATAATGTATTTGAGTGTTTGATGGAGGTCACTAATGAGATCACATGACAATCAACCTTGTCGAATAGACGAACTTCATTTTTAAAGACACTTGAAATCTATTATCACTTTTTTTTTAAATCAACCTACTATGTGTTGAGAGCATTGCTTAGCAAAAGAGAACATAAATGAAGAACAATGTTAGGTTCTTGTCAAGTATACACTTGAAATTACATGAAGGAGATTGCATAAGAAGTGTACATCCAACACTAATAATATCATGTAATTTTATTGATAGATTTTGTTTCATGGCCCATAAAACTTTGACCATATTGAGAAATGATTAATCAGACAATTTAAGGTTGACTTGCGGACAAAGTGGTGTGACTGTTAGAATTTCAAGTTTTTCATGTACCTTTCTCACATCTTAAGAGAGAGATGCCTCTGGGAGCTCTAGATCCAAGAAGGGCAGTGAGCGAACTAAGGGAGGGGTGAAGAAAGGTTTGTGCGTCACACCCTTAACACCATAGCAAAAGGATTTACTGGTGGCAGAGAGACTAGCTTCGCTCTTAAAAAGTATGTGTGTTAAATTCTAACCATCGATGGCTCGTGCAATACTAAGAAGCAGCATAATATTGCTCTTCCTACCGTTGAGGGTGAATACGTAGTTATTGATAGTTGTTATGCACAAGTCTTATGTGTAAAAAAACAATTGTTAGATTATGATTTAAAACTTGGGTGCACTCCGATCAAGTGCGATAACACTAACGCGATAAACCTCACTAAAAATCTGTTACTTCACTCACTGACTAAACATATATAAATCCAACGCCATTTCTTAGAGATCATGTTGAAAAGGGGACGTTGTTTTTGAATACGTTGATACGAAAAATCAGTTTGCCGATATTTTAAAAAAACCATTATCTTTAGAACTTTTTCACAAGATTTGTAGGGCATTGGAAATCTTAGATTCCTCGTGCTTTAAATAGATTATGATTTTTATCTAGTTTCTTTTACCATATGTATATTGTTTTCAATAACACCCTATTGTAGCAAATCTTAGTTTCACCAACTCCATCGGTATTTCTCTATAACTCTTATATCACTAGATCTATGTTTGTTATACATATGTTAATTGGTTTGCATATTACATTATGCATTTCATTCTTTCATCTATAGCATGCTTATGATTGCTCATATTTGCATTTAAATTCTTTTTACATGTTGTTAATAATGTGCATTTGAGTATTCATATACTTGTTCATGCACTATTTAATCTTTCATTCATAATAGTTTGATCACTTAATTTTCTTTTGTTGAAATGTTGTTGCATGTATGTTTGCATATTTGTTGCATATAACATGTCTATCTTCGTGTTCAATATTCAATCTATAATGTTGTGTATTATTCTTAACTTTTTAGCTCATGTGTTCATCTGGAATTTATCCTTTGTTGCTAGTTATTTGGTATTTAGACTCATTACCATCTATCTCTTTTTAATCTTGTCAAATGGGAGAAATTGTAATGTGAGTCTAGAACTCTTTTATGCATTTTATGTTGTTGTTAGTGTGCAATATTTTAAGAGGAGTACGAAAAATTATTTGCTTTGGCTCAAAGTCAACTCAATTCCAAGTGAAACTTGTCAAACATAAAAAAAAGAGATACTGAAGTTGCACGATCTCTAATATATTCAAAGGAAGTACCCCAATACGATTTTGTTGTTTGTCTCTTAAGTTTTCGTTTCTTTTATTATTGTTTATTGAGTCTCCTTTATAATTGCACATCTTCGGATTGAGTTTTGAATTCATCCATTTTAGCATGTATAATTTAATTATTTGTATTTGAGTATTACCATTATGGATTAAGTCAATTGGTTGAGTTAATGGAACAAGAACCATATTTGACGTTGGTTCAAGTTATGTGGGAAGTGAGATTTCAAACTATTTTGAAAAACTTGAAAATTTGAGATTTGTTGTGTATGAATCAGATTCACTTACAATCCATGACTCAAATAAAATAAAATAAAGGATAATAAGATGATTTTGGTGTCTGTGACTCAAATCACAATTTACACATGATTCGAATCATTTAACATTGTGACTCGAATCACAAGTTGCACATGATTCGAATCACACATCTCCTGTTAGCCACTACCTCATTTGATTAGAATTACACTTTCTAGCTGACTCGAATCACAAAGATTTCACTTTCCTATTTGGTTATGATCAGTTTTATTTCCTTCAAGTTTTGTACATGACTCAAATCATAAGCCTACATAACTCGAATCAGAGTTATAATATGAGTTGAATCACAGGAAACATGTCACTTTTTTTTTATGTTGATCTTGTTCCACACTACTTGCTTATTTGACTCAAATCAACAAATGTTTTTTACTCAAATCTTACAACCATTTTCACCCATTTTTGTGCATAATCTCCAACACATGTTAATTATTTTGTCATCTTATTTTCATTAAGCAATCTCAAACTAACACCGTAATTTTGTGAAATCAACAACCTTTCATTTTTGAAAACACAAAAATCTCTTGCAAACATAACTTCTTTCATATTCAACCTCTAGTTTGAATTCAGATCTTGATCATGAAGATTTGTAATTGTTGAGGGAAACGTGTCTTAAAACTAACATTTCTTGAAGGTTTTGTAAAGATTTTCAGGAAACTTCCAAGATTGTGGTTGTTGTGACTAATATTAACCAATTCCAATGAAAAGAAGGAGGTTCTTCTCTTTATGTTATCCTTGACAGTTTTGTGTGGAAGCCTACATAAGAGTTCTTCTCAATCTTCAGACAGTTCAACACTCAAGAAATCGGTGGGATCAAGAGTGATTGTCGCAAATGAATGCATGGAGTTGTTTGGTGAAGTGAGAAGATTCAAGAAGTGAGAATCGAGTAAAGATTTCACAAAGAGATTACTATAAAGGCTTTGTACAAGTCAAGATCCAGATAAGAGGTTTATTTTTCTCAATATTATTATGGATTAGTGATTGTACAAACTCATGCAACATGTGTCAAAACATAATGGAATAGCAACTTTCATGGGAAACCATTGGAGAGTGGAGTAGGCTCTTATGAGGACGATAAAGTCGAACCATTATACATATTAGTGTACTCTCTCTCTCTCTCTCTCTCTCTCTCTCTCTCTCTAACATTTTAATTTTCATAGGTTATTGCATGTTTAGGTTTTCATTTCTTAACATAGTTTATAGTTGTTGAATAATGAGAGAACAAGAGGAAAGTTGGATTAAATCTTTGTGTTTGAATTACAAGAGGAGCTCATTATATATGATAAGAGGAATAACTGTCATAGTAATCACATAATATTCTATTTCCTATTTACACGATATCATAATTACTTACAAAATATTCTATTTACATAATACGGAATATAACGATATCTAACACCCCCCCTCAACCTGAAGCATATATGTCATATGCACCAAGCTTGTTACAAATATAATTAATTCTCTCAAAGACTTAGTGAAAACATCAACTAATTGATCATTTGAATTGAGAAAACTAGTGCTAACATCTCCATATAAAATATTATCTCTGATGAAATGACAATCAATCTCAATGTGTTTAGTTCTCTCATGGAACACTGGATTTGATGCAATATGCAGAGCTGTCTGATTGTCACAAATAAGTGTCATTGTGAAACATCCCTGAATCTTAGGTCATGAAGCAACTGTTTGAGCCATATAAGCTCACAGGTTGTTGTTACCGTGGCTTGATATTCTGCTTCTGCACTTAACCTTGCCACTATACTTTGTTTCTTACTCTTCCAGGAAATTAAGTTACCACCCAAGAAAACACAATAACCTGAGGTGGATCTTCTATCAAAAGGAGAACCTACCCAGTCTGCATCTGAGTATCCTACAACTTGAGTGTGTCCATTGTCTTCATAAAGTAAGCCTTTTCTTGGAGCTCATTTAATATATTTTAAGATGAGAATCACAAATTCCCGATGCCCTTCACAAGGAGAGTTAAGAAATTGAATTACCACACTAACATGAAATGAAATATCTGGGCGAGTAAATGTGAGGTAATTCAGTTTTCCAACCAATCTTCTATATTTTTCAGGATCGGAGAGTGGCTCCCCCTAAGCTGGCATAAGTTTAGCATTGGGATCCATCGGA